ATTGAGGAAGAACAAGCGTAACGACGAGTAAGAAGAAGAAGAAGAAGAAGAAGAAGAAGAAGACTGTTGAGTACTATTACAACTACTACTGCTACTACTATTACTACTGCTACTACTATTATTATTATTATTATTATTACTTGTCATCCTGATAAATTTTGGATTTTTCATGATTCATGATCATTCGTTCTTTATCTCGCGTCTAAATATTTTTATAATATTTTTTTTCTTCGAATTTATATTTTTAATGGATTTATGATGCAACTTTTTAATGATTCATTTGATCACGTGTTAATGATTCGTTAAATTGATTAAATAAACAAATTTTTTAATTAAATTAAATAATTAATTAATTTAATTTAATGAAATAATTAAAATAAAGTAAATAATTTTTAATTAATGATTCGTTAAAGTTATTAAATAAACAAATTGTTTTTCAAACTATTTTCGTTCGAATATAATTAAAAAAAATTATGTATTATTGTTTTTTTCTTTTTTTTATTATTATTATCCGAAGATTAAATTTAAAATTACTTGTCTTACGAAAATTTCTAAATTATATAAATAAAAATAAAAAGAATAAAAAGAACAAATGATGAAATTAAAAATGAAAATTATAATTATAATGATGTGGTAGGTAACATTCAAAATCATTCTATACGCTCTTTTGTGATTTCGCATGACTATAATTAAGTTTTATTTGAAGTATATGTATGACGTCACGCCTGGCAAGGAAAATACCTATATTAGTGATCGATAAGGATCTATAAAATAACCGAGGTGGGAAAATACATGCTTAACTATCCTTATTACGAGAATGATAATTATGTTTCACTATAGATGAGATCTTTTCAAGGCCAGAATTCTTAATCGTGTGTATATGTGTGTATGTATTTTATCACGTTACATATAAATCTTCTCAAAGTATTATTCACCAAATAATAGATCTTCACACGTGATTATCTTGTTGTAGAATCTATGAAACAATATAACGTCGTAATAAATAATTCGCAGAAAATGAGGAAAATTTATTTAACGCGATCGAAATAGATTAATTATAATAATTATACGTTTAAATTGAAAAA